ACTGAACACCACTCACATCTTTATTTGACAACCTGGGAATGAGAATGGGCTGTGAAATGTGTAGGATATACTAAGATGGCCTTGAAACTCACACAGAAAGCAAAAGGCCCTATCTACAACTATGGACATTTTTTTGGAACCCCATAAAAAACTTTTCAGGGAAACAAAAACACCTATTTTCAGGTGATTATACACTAATGAATACATAGCTATTGATGTGATATTTCATTTTTGCCAGTAGATCCTCCTTAATGTCACACACTGGACCTTTAAGTGTTAATAAGTAGTCAAAGCCATGCTGAAAGCCACTGTACATATAGTCTTTGATTTTAATTTTTAATTTTAAAAGGATGTCAGCTGTCAGTCACAGTAAAAAAAAACATTTGCAAATATGGTGAATAACAAAACATTTTCCAGAGGCAGTAGGCATGGATATGGTCTGAATGGTGAATCCATGACTCGCAGTATAGATCATGCATGCGTGAAAAGTCACTGTGAGACAGTGTGAGTCAGTGTGAGCACAATGATCTGTAAATAATATGAAAAACAATATGAGAGAGATATGAAAGATTTCACACTGGGATAATTTGAGCTGAATGACTCATCACAGACAACATCTGTTTTGTTTTGATGTCACTCTTCTTTGAACACATCACATATTGAGATGGCATCTGACCTCAGCACTCCTAAACACCATTAACTTCATATTAAAACAACAGAAATGAATGAATGGATTTATGGTGAGCTCTCATCTAAGCAGCATGCTAATAAGCCTGTATGCATCTGCTATTCAACACAGTAAGACTAGCGTGTTATTGGCTGCACACTGATGGCCCACTGTGTAATGGAGTGTGTTGTGCCATTACTGTCTGCAATTGTGTGACAGAGTGTTATGTGTGTGTATGTGGTGGGCTGCTGTGTTTGAGAGTGTGTCTGTTTGTACCTTTTAGTGTATGTGTGTGCACACAGATATTTACTCTGTATTAGTGAAATGAGAGTTTAGAGGTGTGCAGTGTAATTAGTTAGGTGTGCATGTGTGTGTGTGTGTTTCCAGCAGCGATCCATATTATTGCTGAAAACTGTAAATTTTCATCTCTCCTCAGGGGGCATGTAAACCTTCTGGCTCGGCTGTAAACTGAATCTTCCCCCTCCGCTTCACTTTACCGTTCATCTTTTCCTCCTTTAGTGAGGTAAGCAATAGTCTCAGGCTGAAAATGAACCAATTCAGCACTGTTTTTTTCAATTACCCAAGCAGACATGGTTGTTTTCAACAAGTCTCTTTTCAACTTCATCTTCTAAAAGGTACCTTCATATACAACAGAGAAGAAACATGTATATTAAAACTATTCATGTTTTATGGTTATGTTTAGGCAACTCAGAGCACTTGGTTAGGTTGGAGAAGAGGTGTGGTTAAATATTTAAAAAGTCAATGATTACATTGATGGTAATATTGGTCAAAAATATCTCAACCACATTTGGTGCATTGCCATGAAATTTGGTACAAATATTCACAGTCTACAATAATGACTTTGGTGATCCCCTGACTTTTCCTCAAGGAGAGCAAATTATCAATTTATCCAGTGAAATATAGACTGTACAATTAAACATGGATGTAGTCTCCCTGACATCACCCATAGGTTTCTGAAGAGACATTGTGAAGCTAAAGGTGTGGTGGCTCTGGCCATAGCCATCTTGGAAGTCCTGACTCCACCTCATTCGAAAATGGGCAAATACGTGGAGCATAGGTAGAGCTAAGCCATGCCCTGCATTATGCATATCTTTAAGCCTTAATATAATAAACGGGTTAATTATATAAGATTTCACCTGCCATACAGTTGTCATGAATGGGGTTGTAAACATGTTTCTGCATTTTAATACGGGACCTTACGGAGAGTGATCACTTCTGTAGCCAGACAGTGGCTGAGAGAAACTGCAGTTTTTGTTACTTCCATGTTGGCTTCATTAGCTTGCTGCTTGGAAATATTTTAAAATGTGCTTGATGGACTCGCACAAAATGTTGTACAGATATTCATGGTTCCCCTGAGGATAAACTGTAATAACTTTGGTGATTCCCTGATTTTTCAGAAAAATATTCAACAAAAATTTGTCCAGTATTTGACTTAACACATGTAAAATAATGACATTTCCATAGCAAGACATTTTTACCAATATAATACCAATATATATTTAGATAAAATATATATATATATATATATATATAACGGTATTTCTTTAGGGAAAAAAATAACTATTTGAGCAGGTTGCAGATGAACGCAGCACAAAAGAAAGGCATCCGAGAAAATTAGCGAGACATAAACAGGTAGACTGTGAGATGAGGGGGACAGTTATGTGCTGACACCTTGACAGACAGACACAGGTAGATGGGATGATTTATAAAGAGGAGTCAGTGAAGGCTGGAAACGATAAAATATGGAGAGAAAGAGTTGATTGAATAGACTGAATTATAGTGAGACAGTGAGTTATGAAAGAGAGACGAGGGAGACACAAATAGAATGAGATGAGGAGAGAGATGGTAAGGTGGGGTGGATGATGGAGGGAGTTAGGAAGGAGTGGAGACAGAGGGTAAAAGGCAGAGATAGGGAAAGAGAGGGGTGAGAGCAGGGAGATTAGGATGGGTAATCCGGCAGGTCTAAAAGCTGAGCTTTTAAAATTTGGGTTAATACCCCCAAACCTTTGTTTTGTCCTTGTGTTCACTGTGACGTACGTGTGTGTAATGGGGGGAAATATGGACATATTTCTCCATCCACTCAGTAACATCAGTGAAGACCAATTAAGTGTCTGTCTCACTTTATGTGTATAAACCATCAAAACCTTCAGTTTTACAATAGTCTCCACACATTGTATCTGTTTTTGTTTTCCTCTTTGTGACTGAATCTATCCCTCTCTTCGTCTTTTTCAGTCTCAGTCCTGGTCATCTGCCTCTCACTCAAGCATGCAAACGCAATGCAATAAGTTGTTTTGGAGAAAAACAACTGGCCTACATTTCTAATTGACTTGAGAAAGCCTTGAAGTGTGAAATACAGTGAATAAGCAAACCGCACCAGCCTGACCTGAATCAGAAAATGCAATGAGCTCGCTCAACCTAATTCATTATTAATTTATTTGACCTCAGTCCTTAATATTTTGTTAATTCTTAAAAAAACAGCAATTTCAGACATTTCTGTAATGATGTAGTGACATCAATTGCTCTTTATCAGCTTTCATTTTAATAGTATTTTTATTGTTAATAAGGAAGTCCAAATCAAATCCCCAAGGAGAACAGCCACAATATTGCATTTTAAGAACACTGGTTGACCATTTGAATTGAGACTGTTAAGATTCTGTCAATGGTAGATGATGAAGGAGTATAAAATCACTTTCAACATGTTAATTTAATACATTCCAATAAACCAGATTAATTGTCAAAATGGTGGCTCTCTACACTTCTTTCCTCCTTAATAATCCCTCTCCTCCTGTTCACTGGATGAACTTTGTCTGCCAGTGTCACTGGGTTTTGTGTTTGATTGGGTGTGATTGTTTATCACATTGGCTTAAAGTAACACTGATACTGCTTTGGTTTGTGGAGTTTAAAGACAGAATTTAATAAAGAAAAGTGCTGTATCAGAAGGATTAGACTGATATTTCAATCCCTCCACCACATTTTACCAAAAATAAAAATAGTATGAAAACGTGCTATCTCTGACAGGTGTGTTTATCTGCCTCAGGGGACTGAAAAAAACAAATGAAATTTTTGACAGCAAAAAAACAAAGAAATTATACTAAACTCAAAAAAGAGGACAACATTTTAAAAGAAAAGAATACAATCAATGAGTTGTGAACACAGCACTGACATATTGTCACCTTTTAAGTTGATATGGTGAACCTGTTATCAAACAGTTGCCTTCCAGTGCATCCAGTAGCTACAGAGCAACATTATCATTTATTTGGAGTCATGTTTTGGCAACCTGGTGAATGTAAGTACAATATTAAATGCAATATTGACTCTCTTTTAGTTCTGTTTTTGTGCACATAAACAATGAGCGGAAACTTGCTATGAATCGCTTTAAATCGAAGGGGAGCAGCAGGTTCAGGGGATATTTCTTTGTAGGGACGACCCCTTTCACACTGAAACATGTTTTTAACATTGTCATCTGTTATAGCCGCTTTAAGGAAAGTGGTGATGTGCAGGAGAAAGCAGCTCTGACCTGTTGTAAAGGAGGATGTCAGGGGTCCAGATCTGGTCTGAAGGGAATCGAAGGTTCTGGACACCGGGGTAGTTTTCTGGATTCCAGCTCAGATAGATGTCTGTCCAGTACTGAGACAGAGAGAGATCTTCGCTTAAGATTGTGAGATAATTTTTTTAAATGGGTGCAATAACTCTCATGCTCTGAAAAACCTGGAATGTCCAATGGCTTGTTGAACTAATTGAATTGAACTTTTACAAATAAATGGTATTTTGCTGGGAAGGAAATGAAAATGGAGGAATAAAATAATTACCGTTTTCAAAATTAAACAGCAGTTCTGAAGTTATAAAGCAAGGAAAGGAAAGGTTATTCCTGTAAACATGTTTCTAATCGTGCAGGCTTACCTGATAGCTTCAAACAGCCAATAACCATTTTCTGCAAACTAGCTAAATTCAGTGTAAAACAGCTGCTGTGAATCCCATGCACAGGTAGGGCTTTCATTTGACAGAAATAGCTTAAAACAGTAACATTAGTGGTTAACGAGCACAACATGGTTCTTGTCTTGAAAACGTGTCTACTTCCCAAAGCATCAAGTCAAGATTTCTGTTCTGCAATCTGTGTCCTACTTGAAAAGCTTATAACTATTATACTTACTACTATAATATATGGCTGGAGGCTATGAATCTGTGTGTGGATTTTTTTTCTTGGCATTAAGTGCATTACCAATCAGGTTGACTGCCACTTAAATATGCTGCACTCTTCCTCCCTCTTCTTCCTTCTCCCCTTGTCGCACTTTCTGATGCCAGCATTGAACATGGACACACACAAAAGCGTCAGCAACAACTGGTGGCTGGGTTCCAGTATTAAGGATGATGATTATAACAGAGTGTGTGTTATATGAAACTCTAAGCTCTGGAAATAGCTTAAAATACATGAATGACACTAATATTATACTTTACTATGCTGTACTATACTATATTATACTATACTATACTATACTATACTATACTATACTATACTATACTATACTATACTATACTATACTATACTATACTATATTATATTATACTATGTTATACTAAAATATACTATACTATACTATATAAATATTGATTTTAGACTGTGAGCAAGTACAAAGAATGAATCCATCCATTTAATAATAACTCTGAATGTGAATGGTTGAAATCTAATATCATCAACAAGGACTTAATGTAGTGGGATTAGTAATTTGAGAAACACAGTCACAGTGTCTTGAGAAGATAACTGTGTAATACAATCATAAATATAATTAAAGCTGTAAGCAGCATTGGGCGGGACCTCGC